AAAAAAAAAAAAAAAAAAAGAAAGAAAGAAAAAAGAGTTATCCATTAGATATAAATATCTGTATACCGAAATATTTACAAGTAAAATGCTGAGATTTGCTTTAAATTAAACTTCAGGAAAAACAAAGCAGGGGCAATCACAGTTGAACCTAGATAATGGGTACATGGAATTTCATTATGCTTTTCTATCTATACTTTTATATACTTGAAATTTTATAGAATTTAAAGGTTTTATCTTTTGTTGAGACAAAGTCACACTCTGACACCCAGGCTGGAGTGCGTTTGCAAAATCACGGCTTACTGCAGCCTCAGCCTCCTGGGCTCAGGCAATTTTTTCTCCTTACCTTCCCAAGTAGCTGGGACTACAGGTATACACTACCACACCCAGCTAATTTTTTCATTTAGAGTTAGGGTCTGGCTCTATTACCTAGGCTGTAGTGCAGTGGCGTGATCTGGACCTATTGCACCTTCCATCTCCTGGGCTCAGGCCATCCTCCCACTTCAGCCTCTTGAGTAGCTAAGACCACATATGCACACCACCATGCCCAACTAATTTTTTTTTTTTTTTTTGTAGAGATGGGGTATTGCCATGCTGCCCAGGCTGATCTCGAACTCCTGAGTTCAAGCGGTCCACCTGGCTCAGCCTCCCAAAGTGCTGGTATCATAGGCTTGAGCTGCTTTACCCAGCCAGGTTTTAACTTTTTTTAAAAAGATAAAGGTTGGGTGTGGTAGCTCACGCCTGTAATTTCAGCACTTTAGGAGGCCAAGGAGAAAGTATTACTTGAGACCAAGAGTTCAAGAACAGCCTAGGCAATATAATGAGATCTCATCTCTACAAAAAATTAAAAATTAGCCAGGTGTAGTGGGGTACACCTGTAGTTTTAGCTACTCGGGAGGCTGAAGCAGGAAGATTGCTTGACCCTGAGTGGTAGACGCTGCAGTGAGCTGTGATCACACTACCATACTCCAGTGTAGGTGACAGAGTGAGACCCTGTCTCAAAAAAAAGGGGGGGGGGGGCAAAGGTCATTTATAGATCAGCTCACAAACTATCAATGGCCACTAAACAGATGAAAATATAAAACTGCTTTTTATCTATATAATCGGAAAAATTCAGGAAGACCAATAATCTACCATAGTAATAGTTTGGGAAAGATCAAGTTATAAACTCCCTTGGACTCTCTTTGTAGTAGTGTAAGTTGGTACAGCTCTTTGGAATGCACTTTGGAGACATTTTTCAAAATGTAGATATGCTTCTAGAACTTTGCCCAGTAAAAATTGTATCATAAGTGTGCAAAAATATGTGTACAGTATTTCTTTTTTCCCTGTTGTAATATTGAAAAACTGTAAACAGTGTTGACATTCATCAATGAGTAACTGATTTTACTGTACCATTTAGGAAAATGGCCTTAAGTATGTAATACTGAAAAGAATGAGATACACCTACTATTAAGATGGTAGTTTCTAAATAACTATTCTCCATTCAAAGGAACTAGGGCTCCTTAGAAAAATAACTATTGCCAGAGTTGGTGCAGGGAAAGAACCAGATGGGTGGGGCCATCTTGCTGTGCCAGAAAGGAAGGAAGGGACAGAAGAAAAATAGGATGTGTTGAAGAATACAGGATCAGGAGTGAAGGTTTGGGGCATAAAAGAATGATAGAGGCTGGGCACGGTGGCTCACGCCTGTAATCCTAACACTTTGTGAGGCCAAGGCAGGCAGATCACCTGAGGTCAGAAGTTGAAGACCAGCCTGGCCAGTATGGCGAAACCCCATCTCAAAAAAAAAAAAAAGAATGATAGAAATGAACGATCACCCATAGAATAAAATAAGAATTCATGAATCCAGACTGATAAAAATCAATAACTGGAAAATGAAACGCTGTCTTACACTAGTGTAAGTGAGAAATATAGAAGGAATCATGAAATTAGAAAATCATCACCAAGAAACCATCAGGCAAGAGTCACCACTAGATGCTACACAACCAGCGGGTGAAATTCTGATGAAAAGCATAATTGTTTTTTTAAAATATCTCCCCACAAGATACTTAAAACTACAAAGTAAAAAATTGTAACTTACAGTGGAGAAACCTGGTAGGCACCACCTCAAAAAAGCAGTTGAAGTTGAAGTAAATATCACCAGTATGACATAGACATCAGATTCCTTCTGATGTGATCCATTGAGAAGGGCACAACATTACTTCTCTGGTGTTCCTCCCCCAAATATATAACATGAATGACCTCAGATGATCCTTTTTAATGAGGAGACAGCAGACAAACCCAAATTGAAGGACAGTCTACAAAGTAACCGATCGTCTGAAACAAATCTTCAGAAATGTCAAAGTCATAAAAGAAAAGAAAGATGTGTTGTTCTGTTTCAGATTAAATAAGATTAAAGAGCCATGACAATGAAATGCAGCCCTTGATTCTAGTCTGGATTCTGGACTTGAAGGGAAACATTTTTCCTATCTTTTGCTACAAAGGATGTTAGTGGGACACTTGGCAAAATTTAAATTAACAGTAGATTAGATAATAGCACTGAATTGTTAATTTTCTAGCTTTAATTATTCTACTTTGATTGTACTTTAAAAGTCCTTGTTCTTAGGAAATAGACACAATTTTGGATTAAAGGAGTATCATGTGAAATTCACTTTCAAACAGTTCCAAAAAACACAATGATATATAGGTATATATGTGTGTACACAAAGAATGAGTTAGCAGTGTGTATTCTCTCATGCAGAAGTATTGGCAATGACATTGCCGAGGTACAAAGCAAGTTTTGAAAATAGGATGTTTTCATTTTTGAAATGAAAATGTCTGTTCCCATTTTTGTGAAAAATGGATGTATGAATGCATGTGCATAGAAACAATCTGTCACCAGTGTTTATTTTTGGGAATTGCAGATTACATATTTCTCTGATGTTTGAATTCTTTTCTAACAAGTACATATTTGTAATCAGAAAGAATAAAAAATAAGCGTGCCCAAAATGCTGACCCATTTTCTTGACAAATTGTAATTGCAGCACAGCCCTCAACTCAGTAGTCCCATTATTTCACCAGCTCAGTCGCCAGCACCAGCTCAGCTGTCCACCCTGAAAACTGTACGTCCCTCTGGACCACCACTTTCCATCATGCCCCAATTTCCTAGACCTTTTGTTCCCAGGCAAGGTAAGTGTACATGAAACCAGTCACAACTTCAGAGAATTTAAGACATCCATTCCCAATCACTTGGTAATTTTTCTTGGCAATACCGCCTATTTTCCACAGGGCTGCATCTTCCCCTCCACTCAGGCATGTCTATTTGTGACCATATACTCTCCTAACCTTAATTCATAATTGCTAATTAATAATTATTAATTCAGTAATTACTTATATTCAGTAATTACATGAGCACATTAAAATGGCTTTAACTTATTCTTATAATCCATTCCTCTATAGTAATAATACAGTTTTCTACATTTATTCAGTATGTTAATTTCTATGTTAGAGTAATGTATATCAAGAATTTATCCAGGCCAGGTGTAATGGCTTACATCTGTAATCCCAGCACTTTGGGAGGCAAATACAGGAGGATCACTTGAGGCCAGTCAAGACCCTGTCTCTGCAGAAACTACAAAAATCAGAAGTGGTGGCACATGACTGTAGTCATAGCTACTCAGGGGGCTGAAGCAGGAGGATCACTTGAGCCCAGGAATCCAAGACTACAGTGAGCTCTGATTGTGCCTCTGCATTCCAGCATTGACACCACAGCAAGACTCTGTCTCAAAAATAAAACAGAAAAAAGAGATTATCCAAAAATTTATTCAGCAAACATTTATTAAGGAAATGCTATGTCCTTGGTGTATAAAGATAAATGAAGAGAAGTCCTCACCCTCACTAACCCTTAGACTTGGGGGAGCAGATATGCAAGCAGATGATCATAAACTAATATGCAAACCATTTTATTAACTGGAATTTATCCTAATGATAATGCACACAAAGATTTATATACAGAAGAGTTTATCCTGTAGCAAAAAAAAAAAAAAAAAAATTAAAAGCAGCCTAACTTTGATCATCAATGAGGAATATTTAAATTATGGTATATTCATGCAAGGAATATTATGTAGCTATCTAAAAAATCATAAAAGTGGTGGCTGGCACAGTGGCTCACACCTGTAATCCCAGCAGTTTGGGAGGCCAAGGCAGGTGGATCACGAGGTCAGGAGATCAAGACCATCCTGGCTAACACAGTGAAACCCCATCTCTACCAAAAATACAAAAAGTTAACTGTGTGCGGTGGCACACACCTGTAGTGCCAGCTACTCATGGAGGCTGAGGAAGGAGAATCTCTTGAACATGGGAGTGGAGGTTGCAATGAGCTAAGATTGCGCCACTGCACTCCAGCCTGGGTGACAGAGCGAGACTCTGTCTTAAAAAAAAAAAAAAAAAAGTGGGGAGGGGCAGTATTCACAATATGATGAGTGATTTTTAAAAACAAGTTACACAGACACTTTGAAGTAGTATGCAGATGTCTAATAAGCCCTTGAAAAGATATTTAACATGAGTCATTATAGAAATGAATATTCAAGCCAGAATGAAATATCACTTCACATTCATTAGAATGGCTATAATCTAAAAGATTGACAACACCAAATATTGGTAAAGAATGTTCTCACTTGCTGGGCATAGTGGCTCATGCCTGTATTCACAACACTTTGGGAGGCTGAGGCGGGTAGATCACTTGAGGTCAGGAGTTCGAGACCAGCCTGGCCAACATGGTAAAACCCCATCTCTACTAAAAATACAAAAATTAGCTGGGTGTGGTGGCACATGCCTGAAATCCCAGCTACTTGGAAGGCTGAGACGGGAGAATCAGTTGAACCCGGGAGGCAGAGGTTGCAGTGAGCCAAGATTGCACCACTACAATCCAGCCTGGGTGACAAGATTGAGACTCCATCGCAAAAAAGAAAAAAGAATGTTCTCACTTATAAGTGGGAGCTAAACACTGATGGACACAAAGAAGGGAACAATAGACACTTGGACCTACTTGAGGGAGAAGGGTGAGGATTGAAATGTACCTATTGGGTACCGTGCTTATTGTCTGGGTGACAGAATAATAAGTACACCAAACTCCCACAACATGCAAAATCCATATGTGAATAATTAAGAAGCAATGTTGGTAAAGATACAGAGCTACGAAAATTCTCACACATTAGCGGTGAGTACAATGATAAAACCACTTCAGGAAAAGGTATGGCAGTTTTCTAAAACTTTAGTCACTTGCCATACAATCCAGCAATTTCACTCTTTTTTTTGTTTGTTTGTTTTTGTTTTTTTTTTTGAGACGGAGTTTCGCTCTTGTTACCCAGGCTGGAGTGCAATGGCGCGATCTCGGCTCACCGCAACCTCCACCTCCTGGGTTCAGGCGATCTCCTGCCTCAGCCTCCTGAGTAGCTGGGATTACAGGCACGCGCCACCATGCCCAGCTAATTTTTTGTAGTTTTAGTAGAGACGGGGTTTCACCGTGTTGACCAGGATGGTCTCGATCTGTTGACCTCGTGATCCACCCGCCTTGGCCTCCCAAAGTGCTGGGATTACAGGCGTGAGCCACCGCGCCCGGCAGCAATTTCACTCTTAGAGGAAAGAGAATTGCAAACATTTTCACACAGTCTTGTATACGAACCTCTATAACAACTTTACTTCATAATAGCTCAAACTGGGCATGATCCACATGTCTATCAACAGGAGACTGGATAAGCAGATTGTGCTGTATCCTTACAAGGGTACTAGTCAACAATAACAGTGAACAAAGCAAACTACTGACACACAACAACACGATGACTCACCGGGTCACGATGTTAACCAAAAAATAAACCAGACAAATAGAGAATATATTCTATATGATTCTAATTATATAAAATCCAGCTGTAGATAAACTAATCTGTGGTGTTAAAAATCAGATAGTAGTAGAGATGGGATGTGGAACTGACTGGAAAGGGGCTAGAGAGAACTCTTCCAGGGATGGAAATGTTCTTTATGTGGGCAGGGGGGTAGGGGGTAGGGTCATGGTTACGTGGACTTTTACAATTGTTAGAATTCATCAAGTTCAACACTTAAAATGTGTACTTTGTTGATTTTATGTGTTAATTATATCTCGATTTCCTTAAAAAGTTATTCACACACAAATGCATGTGTGAGTGCACACATATAGAAGACTGAAAAGATACACACCAAAATGTTAGAATTGATGGAATTACCAGGGTGGGTTTTATTGTGATTAGTTTGTTTGTTTTGAGATAGCATCTCACTCCATTACCCAGGTTGCAGTGCAGTGGTGCACTCATGGCTCACTGCAGCCTTGACCTCCCCAGGCTCAGGTGATCCTCCCACCTCAGCCTCCTGAGTAACTGGGCTTACAGGTGTGCTAGCACACCTGGCTAATTTTTGTATTTTCAGTAGAGGCAGTATTTTACCATGTTGCCCAGGCTGGTTTTGAACTCCTTGGTTGAAGCAATCCCCCTACCTTGGCTTCCCAAAGTGCTGAGATTACAAATGTCAGCCACCACACCCAGCACCAGGGTGGTTTTTATTTTCTCCTTTGTAATTCTCTATCTCCAAATTTTCTACAAAGAAATTCCTTATTAAATTTAGAAAAAAGGCTGGGCGCGGTGGCTCATGCCTGTAATCCCAGCACTTTGGGAGGCCAAGGGGAGCGGATCACGAGGTCAGGAGTTCCAGACCAGCCTGACCAACGTGGTGAAACCCCATCTCTACTACAAATAAAAAAAAAAAAAAAAATTAGCTGAACATAGTGGCGCCAGACTTTAGTCCCAGCTATCAGCTACTTGGGAGGCTGAGGCAGGGGAATCGTTTGAACCTGGGAGGCAGAGGTGGCAGTGAGCTAGATCTTGACACAGCACTCCAGCCTGGTGACAGAGCGATACTCCGACTCAAAAAAAAAAAAAAAAAACCCATTTTGTTTTTGCATAAATTGCTCTGTTCTCTGCATGAGCTTTGTCAGCACCTCTGAAATGTACCTATGTGTTGGGGACTTCTCTCCGCAGCCCGTGGGACCCCTTTACCTAGTGGATCCCAAAGTACTGTGTGCAGAAAAAAAACCTGAAAGGAGGGCCCCAGAAACGCCTGCGGTGAGGGCATGGGAATGCTTTCCCACTCTTGCTGATGTTTTTCCATGATGGAGTTCTAGGTTTTTTTTTTTCTATTTTTAAAATTAAATTGTATATATTTAAAATTATTATTTAAGTTTTCGTAGAGAGGAGGGTCTTGCTCTGTTGCCCAGGCTGGTCTTAAACTCCTGGCCTCAAGTGATCCTTTCTCCTCGGCCTCCCAAAGCGCTGGAATTGCATGCATGAGCCACTGCGCCCAGCAAATTTAATTTCAATTTTTAATGACAGTTCGTTTTTCCTAATGAGAAAAAAAAAAAAAAAAAAAAAAATACCCAAACCCTGCAGGGGCGGCGGTGGCTGGGGTCGCCAAAGGCAGGGGTTTCGGCGCTGGAGGGCAGGGGCGGGCGCGGGAGGGCTGTGCGGTCAAGTCCTGGGGATGGGGGCAGCTCCTGGGGTAGGGAGCTGTCTCTGCAGGCGCACCCCTGCCCGCCCGGCTTAGCAGACTCCCTCAGCGGCCGAGACCGGTGCAGCTCTCCGCGCTCCCTGGCAACGGAGCCCCAGTTCCGTGTCCTGGAGGCTGAGCCCGCACCCCTGTGTCCCTTTGTCCCCATGTCCCAGAGTCCCCAAGAGGCGAGGCATCCTCTCATCCCCTGCATGCCCACCTGCGCGTCCCCGACATCCCCCGCATCACCTGCAACCCTGAAGGACACCGCTCACCACTGCCCTGAAACGTCGCATCTACTCATCCCTGCCCTCCCAGGCACCCTGTACCCTGACACTGTCTTCCAGGCCACACCCCTTGTCTCGCCTCCAATATTTCCCCATCCCTACACTTTCACAGTTCAACGTGGGACATGTCGCCATGGGGTGGGGGGCGGGAAACAGGGCATCTTCAGGCTTCCCTGCTTTGTCCTCTTTTTTTTCACCCCAGTTTTACTGAGATATAATTCACATATCATATAATTTGTCCACAGAAGCTATAGTGGTTTCTAGGGTATTCACAGAGTCCTACACTCCCCAGCTCCCCAATACCCATCCTCCCGACTGCAGGCAATTCTACTTTCTGTCCTATTCTAGACCTTTTATAGCGATAGAATCAAGCCGTATGTGGTCTCTTGTCGCTTCTTTTCCTTAGCATAACGTCCTCAAGGTTCATCCATGTTGTAGCCTGTAGCAGTGCTCCCTTCCTTTCTCATTACCAAGTAATATTCTGTTGCATGACCACGACACTTTTTTTTTTTTTTT